CATCTGCAAGTGATGGCCTGTAAGTGACAGACAGTTCACTGTAACCCTGGGCAGTGAAAAGACAACAACATTAATATTATAGCCTAAAACATAGTTCAACCTAAAGGATTCATACTTGAATTAATACAAGGACTCCTGCTTCAAGTGGGTGGACATTACTCGCATATGCACCAGCTTCAGTTGATTCTTTTGATTCTTGGGAACTCCTAGCCTGCAATCAAATAAAATTTATAAGTACATAACATTTATTAACATATTTTAAACGTTATAAAATTAGATGTGACACTCACTTGGTTAAGCAATTTCTTCCCTTTAAATTTACATACAATCTGCTCGACCTTTGATTACTTTCTTTTGAATGGAGGTTGACCTTTCGTACGAACAACTCGTGGAGTCAGAATGTTATTGCTGCCCTCTATGGAAGTAGAGTGAACGCTATCGCGGTCCTGGAGACTTTTAGATGACATGTTTAGGTAGCTATCAATCCTGCCAATACCAACATTCAATACTAATTTGTTCTTCATGTCACTAATCATTTGCATGACTATATTACAATCATCGTCATTGCTTGATGCCAAATCTGCCACCTCACAGAATGAATTAGACAACTGATCAAATTGTTGTCCTTCAAGAGTCGTGCTCCAACTATTATAACTTATCATAACTTTGGTGTGACATCTGTATACATTTTTCCTCCACTGCCTTAAAATGTATTTTTCTAGTATAAGATAAATTTTTTTATGAATCAATACTGCAATTGCATGTCGACATAAAATCTCTCTAAACTCAAACAATTGACAATTGCAACGAACCTCAGAAACATGTTCACCAAAGCAAACTACAAAAGGAACATGACGGTAGCTCTTTCCAACCAATACATCTTCCTCGACTACATATTCGATATTGGAATCAGTCTCCTTGAAAGAATGAATTTGACAATAGAGCTTAGCAACAAGCTCTTTTTGAAACTCTTTGAATTTTGCAGTAGTGTATGCATCTTGAAATTTTTTCTCTATCGAATAAGTGCTTATACAAGGGATCTATGATTTAAACGACTTGAAATCACCTTCATTTTCTTTTTCCACTTTATCACGCAATGCGTTCTCATATTGTTCCACAAATTGTTTTAATGTGGTTTTTGATTTTACATACCCATCAAAAAATGAATGCATACTTTCACTACGTTGAGTAGTAGACATACCTACCCAGAAAGTATCTTTTAGAAATGCTGGCACCCACCGATATCTTTCATTATACAAACCAAGTAACCAGTCATTTTCATGAAGGCTGTGTTTATCAATGAACCTATTCCAACGTTCTTCAAACTCCTCACACGTCAATGACTCATACACGACATTTTGCAAAGAAAACTTTATATGTTCATATTCACAATAACCACTTAACATTTCCGGAAACTTCTTCATTATATGCCATAAACACCATCTATGTCATGAACCGGGAAAAACAATCTCGATTGCATTTTGCATTGCCTTGTCTTGATTAGTGATTATAGCCTTAGGAGCAGAATTCCACATACATGCAAGCCAAGATTCAAAAAGCAATACAAAAGTTTGTGTGTCCTTGTGGGAGACCAACCCACAACCTAACAATGTGGAATGGCCGTGATGGTCAACACCGACAAACGCAGCAAACGGCATATCATACTTGTTAGTCAAATATGTCGTGTTGAATGTGACAACATCGCCGAATTCCCTAAATACGGCTCTACTTCTTACATCCACCCATAGAACATTCTACAATCGACCATCCTCATCTAAATCCATAACGTAGAAGAAATTTGGATTATCCTTTTGCATCTTCAGAAAATATTTTTGGATTGTAGTAGCATCCCCAGCACCAAGTCGGGTCCTTCTAACCTTTTCAATGTAATTCCTACAATCCTTTTGTAAGAAAGTCAAATTCTTAGCACCACCATCTTCAATTAACAAGGAATTAAAATTTTTATTAGGTCTAATCCCAACCTTATCATTTACTTCAAGCTTCCTTTTCACATACGGCTGTATAATTCGATTGCTCTTGAAAAATCTAGTTTTGCTAGGACTACTGAGTTCATAGTTATGCTTATAGATGATCGATACTATTTCCTATTTTCCATCAGAACGTTGAGATGCAGTGCAACGAGCCTTACAACCACTTTAAATGGTACCATTTTACAAACATTTCTGGAGTTGCTATCTCGCTTCCCACCACAAGAACTAAAAAAAAAAAGGTAGAAATAATACTATTAAAGGAATTACAATCATATTAATGAATAAAAAAAAGATTACAAAGACAAACTTACCTCCACCATATTGAATTGAGAGGAATGGTTCTCTACTTTTTTCAAGTTACACTCCTCCATCTTTAAAGTGGTGGTGGAAGAGGATGAGCAAACACTGACTGTTTACGGTAGTGGTGCGGTTTGAATTGGTCGTGCTGCAAGAGACACTAAATGTGTAAAACGGTTGTGATTGGTGGTGGTGGCGTGCTCAATTAAGAAGTATGCACATACAAAAACTTTTAATGTAAACAATAAAACCTATATTAAAGCATGTCAACAACAATTTCAACCAATTGGATTTTGAGCTACAACCAAGAACAAAAAAAAGGGGGGCCGGGGGGGGGGGGGGGGGGGGTGTTGGGGTTGTCCCGAGGCTTACATTAAAAAACAATAGTGAACTTATGATAATTATTTAAGTTCATTCTATTTTGTTGTTATCCTTTTAATTGTCATGCAAACTGAACCAAAATTCCAAAACACGTAATCTCTAAAAACACATAATCTTTATATTGTCATGACTCACTCTTCCCTTCCTACACATTGCCCTTTTTTTTTTTTTTTTTTCATATACAGCATAAAATCTCATTTTACAACAAAAATAGATGCCCAATCCATAGCCCAACTCTTTTATTTTAAACTATGAATGCCAAAATTAAATTATCTAAGTAAAGCTACATTTCATTTTAAACTATGAATGCCAAAATTAAATTATCTAAGTAAAGCTACCTTTTATTTTAAACTATGAATGCGAGTGGTGGTGGAAGACGATAGCCTACTGTCGCGGAAGAGGAGTCACGAATAACGATGGTGGAAGAGGAGTCAAGAATGACAGTGGTGGAAGAGGAGTCGCAAATGACGGTTGATAAGAGCTTAAAAGTATATATTTTGTTAGTGATTTAATTGGATTATTTGTGGAAAAATGTGTTTAGTTTGTGGAATTTGAATTAATTATTTCATAAATATCTTTTACGGGATCACGGGTGTATTTTGAATATTTTTAGGTTCAAAACGATCATAAATACCTTTTACAGGATCACGAGTGTATTTTGAGTATTTTTAGGTTCAAAATGATATTTAAAAAAAAATAATGATGTCAATGGAATTCGTGACAAGTAGGAACAAACGGTGCAAGAATCGGAGTTGAAACGAGAAAGTTGTGACGCGTCGAAAATACAACGTAAAATCTGGAAATCCTTCAAGATGAGCATGCTTCAATATTTCGATCATCACTTGAGCTGTAGAAATCGGAATTGGACGATTCTTGTGGCGTTGGAAATCTTATTCAGAGAGCTACAAAGTTTGTGTTGATGACTTTACCAAATTCTGAAGATCACTAACTCATGGGATAGAAAGAACGATCGTTGCAACGATGGGTCACTGGCCTGTTTGGGTTATTGCATTCTCCTAGTCCAAATTTGGATGGGTTAAGGCATTTAATTCTTTCCTAAGTAACCCCCAAACCCTAGCACTATAAATAATGGTCTTTAATTAGTTTTTTAGAGATTAAAGAAGGGGAAAGGACAACTACTATTTTGGAGATCGGAATTCTTACAGTTCTCTTTCGCCAATAAGAGAAGTTTTTCTAGTTTTCTTTCTTGAACTCATGTTATTGAATACAATGGTTATTTTTATTACTGCAACTATGAACTAAATCTCTTTTCTAGGGCCAAAGTTGTAGCCCAATTTATTAAATATGTGTTGACGTTATCTTTATTGATTCCTTATTGATCATTAATTCTAAGTTTTATTATTGTGTGTAATGTTTTTAATTCTTAAGGATCCGAGAGTTGAATGATATCATGGGATTGGGTTGAGATTGAGAGATGAAACCTGATTTGTCTAAGGTAATAAAATCATAGATTGAGCAAACGCTAGAGATAGGTTACCGCGATTTATGAGGCTCTGGTAAATTTCATAGAACTTAATGATCTCTTAGCTTCTAAATCCAACTTAGAGATATTTTGGGTTGTTGTTTAATGGTTAATTCGCTAATTGTTTGAGAGAAAGTTAGTGGAATATTAGGGAGTTTGACCTTTAGAATAAGCTTAATTAAATTAGCAATAATCGTCAATACATATGATTAAATTGGTGTGAAATCTGTACCCTAGGGTTTAGCCATATTGATCTTTATATCCAAGTATTTATAAAATTCTGATTTTGTTTAGTTTTTAATTTGTTTTCTTTTTCATTAAATTCATTAATAAAATTTTGTTTCATCAAATAGCAATAAAATAGACTAGTTTAGTACTTGGTAAGTAGTTCTCTTGGGATTCGACACTCGTTTACTCGAGCTTTATTACTTGCACGATTTCGTATACTTGCGAATAGTCTGTCAACGGTGCTGAGTTCAAGTTCCATTCTAAGGTTTCAATTGAATTTTGGGAGAAAAATTTTTTTGTTAGGAAGAGGAGTTGCGCATGACGGTGGTGGAAGACTGATTGTAGGGCAATTTTGAGAGAGATTTCTAATTTAGGGGAAGAAGAGAGTTTGACGTTTTGATTTTGTTTTGGGAGAGAGATTAGATTTAGGGGAATTGAAATTTTGGGTTTTTTCTTTTATAATTTGGAGGGAAATGACGTGTCATTTTGTTAATGTGACAGATGATGTAATACTGTTACGTCATCTACCACGTCATGACGTGAGAAGGTGTTGCAAACCTAGTATCACTATACTTTTATATTTTGTCGACACTTGTTTTGTTATTCTTACTCAACCGGTTTTATAAGTTCTAGGGTTTTTGTCTTTTCCTTTTTTCTTCGAACAAAAAATGGTCAAGCGTCAGATCATCTGAATAAAAGAATCCAAGACAAATTTACGACAAGTAAATATGGATAGATTATCAGAAGATATGTGCCTTAAGATTTTCCGTTTTCTGGATCAGCAGAGCCTTTCCACTGCTCACCAAGGTTAGTTTTAAGCTCATACACTTTCTCAGTTCTCAATTCTGTCTGAGCCGTTTTTTTATTTTTATTTTATTTTATTTTGTGTTTTTGTTGGTAAGTTTTCTTTTCACGATAAGATGCCAACTGGGAATTTTTGAATTTGCAAAAATTGGATGGTGATTCTAGATTATGTTAAATTAAGTAAAGTTTTGTGTTTATTGGATCGTCATGGTTTTCTTTGTTGTTGATATCTATTGGATAATCCGCAAATCTGACTCTAATTACAGTAGTTGTTTAATTCAATTGTAGGAACTGTTTGTAGTTCTTAAAATAATCTGTTTAAAGGAAATCTTGCTTTTATGCCTTTTTTCATCCTTTTGTTGTATGTATTTATCTTGATTGTTTTGAGGTCTCATTTGTAAAATGTTGGAAACCACGGCAATTTGGTGTCGCAAAGTTTGCAGGAAGTGGAAGGTCTTAGCCTCGGACAACAATCTGTGGTGTAACCTATTCAAGGAAAGATGGGGAGGAGATCGCGCCGCATTTTATGCCCCTGCCGATTCAAGATCTTGGAAAGATGTGTATGAGGTGCAAGATCGATGTGATCGAGTTGGATTGTAAGTTAACCTTCAACCAATATGATTATCACCGCCTCGCGGAATTCTATGATACTGGGACAATATCATTTCCCGGGAATTGAAAGTTGAAACTATTGAATAAACATGGAGAATCTTCAGCAAAAACAAGTGCATTTTATATAATAGTTAACGATAACACGAGATGGTAAAATATAGTATTTTGTTGGGCATACTTGATGAGATGGTTCGTGGTAATGTTTTCAGGGGGTTGAAAATAATCAGAGAAGGCATTGACTACAATCTTGTTCACCAAGGTGAAGTCCAACGCTACTTGGGTTCCAGAAGTCAAAGAGGAGATGATAATTGTACATCCAATTCTGAAGAAGAGGAATCCAGGGAAGGCATTCTGAACAGAATCCTTTTCTTCATTAGAGACTTGGAAGTTGCTTCAACGGATGCCAAACGCTGCCGAATGCTATGAATATGATGGTCTTGGATGGCAACTGTTAAAGACTATGCATTATCACTATGTAGAAACATTTGTATATTTATTCCAGTTGTAATGTAAACATATTCACAAATTGAAACTCACACATCAAGTTCAACAGGCCGGGGCCATAACTTCCCCAAGCTTTGCCTGCATTCCTCATTCTGCGCTCAGAATTTGGGATGCTAACAGATGAACTAGATCAGCAATTGTGTCCAATTCTCGATTTCAATTGTGGGAGGACGGGGATCCTTAGCTCCATAATTCTAGTCTTTGTAAAGTTTAACTGGGTATTATGCACAAAAGTTAACCCTCTCTAATTTTGACACCCTTTACTCACAGAGATGGGTAAATTTAATCTTGAACGGTTAGAAACTCGTTAATCTGCCTAACTACCAATTCTTCAAAATCATGGCGCAAAAATAATTTGCTCTCTTTAGGAGGATTATGAGAATAAAAGGAATCTATTTTATTCGACAGTGTCTTTCAAAAAATACCAAATACTTTGAACGATGGACGAATTCAAATACATTAATCACCCTGGATCATACTTATAACAAATCAAATTGGTACATTTTTATACAGCTATTAGACATTAATGAGTTAGCCTGTTTTCACTTTTTAACTCAACAATATAAGATTGGACTCAGTCTCACACATCCATCTTTTAAATAAAATTAAATTAATGAATGATGTAAACTTGTACCAAATCAATTTTAAGCTACTTTCTTGTCATTTCTTTAACTTAAAGCAACTCCAACCTGTGAACAATCATACAAGAACAATTGGAGCCATCACAGCATTCAAAAGTTTCTATACAATATTCAGAGCTATGAATGCAATTTACTTTTATATTCAAAAAATGACAGATGCTAAAGCAAATCATCGNGTAAGTTTTCTTTTCACGATAAGATGCCAACTGGGAATTTTTGAATTTGCAAAAATTGGATGGTGATTCTAGATTATGTTAAATTAAGTAAAGTTTTGTGTTTATTGGATCGTCATGGTTTTCTTTGTTGTTGATATCTATTGGATAATCCGCAAATCTGACTCTAATTACAGTAGTTGTTTAATTCAATTGTAGGAACTGTTTGTAGTTCTTAAAATAATCTGTTTAAAGGAAATCTTGCTTTTATGCCTTTTTTCATCCTTTTGTTGTATGTATTTATCTTGATTGTTTTGAGGTCTCATTTGTAAAATGTTGGAAACCACGGCAATTTGGTGTCGCAAAGTTTGCAGGAAGTGGAAGGTCTTAGCCTCGGACAACAATCTGTGGTGTAACCTATTCAAGGAAAGATGGGGAGGAGATCGCGCCGCATTTTATGCCCCTGCCGATTCAAGATCTTGGAAAGATGTGTATGAGGTGCAAGATCGATGTGATCGAGTTGGATTGTAAGTTAACCTTCAACCAATATGATTATCACCGCCTCGCGGAATTCTATGATACTGGGACAATATCATTTCCCGGGAATTGAAAGTTGAAACTATTGAATAAACATGGAGAATCTTCAGCAAAAACAAGTGCATTTTATATAATAGTTAACGATAACACGAGATGGTAAAATATAGTATTTTGTTGGGCATACTTGATGAGATGGTTCGTGGTAATGTTTTCAGGGGGTTGAAAATAATCAGAGAAGGCATTGACTACAATCTTGTTCACCAAGGTGAAGTCCAACGCTACTTGGGTTCCAGAAGTCAAAGAGGAGATGATAATTGTACATCCAATTCTGAAGAAGAGGAATCCAGGGAAGGCATTCTGAACAGAATCCTTTTCTTCATTAGAGACTTGGAAGTTGCTTCAACGGATGCCAAACGCTGCCGAATGCTATGAATATGATGGTCTTGGATGGCAACTGTTAAAGACTATGCATTATCACTATGTAGAAACATTTGTATATTTATTCCAGTTGTAATGTAAACATATTCACAAATTGAAACTCACACATCAAGTTCAACAGGCCGGGGCCATAACTTCCCCAAGCTTTGCCTGCATTCCTCATTCTGCGCTCAGAATTTGGGATGCTAACAGATGAACTAGATCAGCAATTGTGTCCAATTCTCGATTTCAATTGTGGGAGGACGGGGATCCTTAGCTCCATAATTCTAGTCTTTGTAAAGTTTAACTGGGTATTATGCACAAAAGTTAACCCTCTCTAATTTTGACACCCTTTACTCACAGAGATGGGTAAATTTAATCTTGAACGGTTAGAAACTCGTTAATCTGCCTAACTACCAATTCTTCAAAATCATGGCGCAAAAATAATTTGCTCTCTTTAGGAGGATTATGAGAATAAAAGGAATCTATTTTATTCGACAGTGTCTTTCAAAAAATACCAAATACTTTGAACGATGGACGAATTCAAATACATTAATCACCCTGGATCATACTTATAACAAATCAAATTGGTACATTTTTATACAGCTATTAGACATTAATGAGTTAGCCTGTTTTCACTTTTTAACTCAACAATATAAGATTGGACTCAGTCTCACACATCCATCTTTTAAATAAAATAAAATTAATGAATGATGTAAACTTCTACCAAATCAATTTTAAGCTACTTTCTTGTCATTTCTTTAACTTAAAGCAACTCCAACCTGTGAACAATCATACAAGAACAATTGGAGCCATCATAGCATTCAAAAGTTTCTATACAATATTCAGAGCTATGAATGCAATTTACTCTTATATTCAAAAAATGACAGATGCTAAAGCAAATCACCGATTCAAGATTATGGAGGAAATAAAGAAGAAAATATAACTATTTCAGTACAACTTATAAACCCTGTTTCGAAAAAGAATATCAATATCATCTGAATTACAGAAGTAGATATTTAATTTCCGACTATAATCTGATGCACCACATGTTATAATAGCGGCCAAAAAAACTATTTTAAATGCTCAAGTGACCTTTCCTTCACCCTGCTTAGCAGACCACTAATTTTCTCATCCATTTGAATCATCACTGGTAAATTTAATACACCTCAATCAAACAGAAACTTCAACAGTGAATGGAATGAATCAAGTGGTTGTTTTCAACCTTACGGCAATGCTGGCGAATTATCAACTCAACATCGATCAAATGTTTAATGGCTCTGCCTCGGCGTCCCTTTCCTTTAGTGACCAATCTTGTGGCCCTGCAACAAACACAAAGAGATTTGAACTCCAGGATATTTGATGATTTATGACTAGTTTTTAAGAAGTCCGGATCTGAAAAGCAGGATATATAAAGTGCATAAAATTAATGTTGGAAAGCATCCATTTATATTGTTTTCAACACGTAGGATACAGGCCAGTAACAAATGATATCTACCGCATTTATATTTGAATCTTAGTGTAAGTATTGCGTGAATAATATACTCACTTGATTTTTCTGCAATCACCATCAGTCGCCTCTGCAAGACTGATGCCACTAAGAGGAAAATCGAGCACATACCAAACATAACGGTAATGGGAAATGCATCAACCTTGAGGTAGAAAAGAAAACCAGAAATCAATAAACGTGAGAGAGAGATTCAAAGAGAGAATAAGATACCAAGAACAAGAGTGCTTAAGTCTACATATTTAAAAAGGGCTGCTACTAGATTAGCTCGAGTCAACTGTCTAGTGTGCAAACCAACCCAACAAGGTTGACCATCCACAGAATTTCAAATTAATAACACCAATCAGATTTGGATGTATAGAGAGCACTTAATCTTATATACAACCATAGATTAAATTTCTATAACTCTAAGAAATCCTATATCGAAAAAAACAATAAACATCTCAATGTTTCAGAGTAAAGCGCGGAACATACATTATATAGCACGACGCACACAAAGATATTGAGAGGAATGCGGAAGAAGTTCATGATGGTGCTTCTGGCCTCCTCAGGAATGTACTGGGACCTCATCTTCATAATGGATGGCCAAAATAGCCCTACACAAGCCTCAAAGGTACAGAAGCCAAGAAGCTGAATACAACCAGAAAATGAGATGCTTCCACCTCTTACCTTGGAGGGTGTAACCAGAAGCTGTCCAAATTTGTGAAATTAGAGATCATTAGAAAAACGCATCCAGCAAACAAACAGCAGAAGAGCAGATAAATAAAATTAATACAAGAAGAAGATGTCAACTGGAACGGATAACATACACTGGTAATAATTGGAAGGAGGAGGGAGACAGAAGACACTAGAAAAACAATCTGCATGTAGCTCTCTACCCTGAGTGATGAGCGAGCCAGCAACCGAGATGCAAGGGAACTGCCCAACATTGAAGCCAACATGAAAGTAGCAAAAATAAAGCCATGGGGAATCTCCTCATTGTTTGGGCTTAGAGCAGGAGTCCAGAGGAAGACAAAGGTATACATTGAACCTTCAAATAGGGACTGGATAGCACCCAGCAAAGCAATTTTTTCATCTGCAGCACAGGGAAGATAATACTAAACACCAAAGGTGGGGACCAAAGCAAAATTAATATGAGGAATCTCAAAGAAACAGATAACAATTAAAGGCGGTAGACAAACAAGTAGTGAGGCACCAAGAACAAAAATTGGCCACCAAAGGCCACCATGATCAATATTATCGATGTCAATTGATGAAAAAACTTTACCTGAAGCAATTGCCACAGCAGCAGACCTGAATTGGGTGAGTAAATCCTTGTTCTCAGAAGCATCTCCATAATTTTCAGTCCATGAAGATAAAATAATGGCCATCCCAATTGCAAGAAAGCATGCAGCAGCATCAAAGGGGGCCACAGGACCAAGAGCAAATGAATCAACAAGTAAGTTTCCAAACAATCCAGAGACAATAGCAACAAGACCATTGCCAAGAAATATTGCCTTTGAGAAAGTTATTGACAGCCATTGTTGCTCAAAGCCCCTCTGCACAGATGTTGTGTATAAACAAAATAGTGAAGAGCGGTTACACTTGACTAAGACAGTACAATCAATCACTTGAGAAACATTAAAAATAAAGTAAAAACTAACAACTCAAGGGACCATTTAGCAGAAAACTGTCAGCTAACAATAAATGATTTATTTGAAAAGCATGGATAGACAAGAGAAGCAATGTCTCACCTTGTTGTGCTCAGCAACAAGCCATGACTCAAATGCTGAAAATAGGAGAGAAGTAGCAATACCTCCCAAAATACGACCTATCATCAGAACTTTGTATTGGGGAGAATGCTTAGTGATGCAACTCAGTATGTATGTTATGCAATAAGTCGCACATGCTCTCCTTCGACCTCTGAATTTAAGAACAAGAAATGCATTGTTAATTTTTGTAAGCATAATTCATTGATCACGAACCACAAAACCACATGAAGAAAAATCTCACTGTTTGTCAGCTAGAGATCCAACAATTGTCCCAAACAACATGGAGGATCCAAAACCAGCTATAAAAAGCTGTCCTATTTCCCCTTTGCCATATCCATACTGACTGTAAAGGAAGTAGACATAAGGGCCCTGCAACCAGTCCCCAGCTATTGCCACATAACAACAATCAGTCAGACAAAGAATTAAAAAAGAAAAACACCACAATAACTTCAACTCAAGTCAAACAATTTCTATCACAGAACAACAACCATACAAACCATGATCATAGCTAAAAAAAGAGTAGTCTTTCATAACAACAAAAGTGTGTGTGTTTCGATGACAAGACCTGACTTATTGAGGAAATCAGGACTTATAATGAGTTTGACAAATTGGTAATAATTAAATAAATTTATTTATCATTTTTTAAACCTGAAATTCATGAAAGAAGCTTCAAGCAAGCTCAAACCTTTAGGTGTTTATCCCATTTGTTTTAAAGTTCAGATCTCTAGTTAACAATTGCATCTGCCATTAAAAAAGAAAAACATCATCACGATCTACACCAAGAAAGCAATGTGACTTTGAATCATCCTGCACTAAAAGCTAAAGTTTTCCTAAAAAAAAAAGATTGCTCAACTTCAGTACCAGAGTACTTAAGAGTTCTATTAAGTACATTTTCTCAGCAATCAGATGCAACCCAGATCCCATATCATTCATACTTTTCTTTTTTGCATTTAAGCTCCTATTCATCCCACAGTATTACTGGGAATATTGCCAGCCCTTGGATCAAAGTCAAAAGCTTGATCCAGGACCTTTAGCCCTTTATACAAAGGCAATGCACATAAATTGAAGCTTAATTAACATCAAACTACTTCAAAACAAGTAAATCAAATTGAAAACACAAATCTAAAACATGGGTATGAAATTAAAGTCAGATCTAACAAGAAAAGAATCAGATCTGAAGAGAAAAAAAGAAAGTACCCATCATAAGAGAGTAGACAAGAAGGTAATTGTTCTTGAAAGAATTGAAAGCGGGAGAGGTGTTGATTCTATCTTTGTTATTTTTGCTGAGCTCCATCGCAGCAACCACTGCACCCAATCCACCGAACACAAGGAAATAGAACAACTCCATTGTTGCTGAATTGGTGTTAATCGCGAATCTGTGTGCTGTGATTCTTTGTTTTAACAATTAAGTACGCGCTCACTCAAACAGATATACATGCATATATAGTTAGACGTAGATATCGTGGTTAGTGAAGAAGATGGGTTCGTCTCCCATGTGTTTGGTATACGGGTTGTACTTCCAATATCAGCCGTTTGATCGACGTAAATTTATATGTACAGTAACAATTTAAAATAATGAAATTCCTTTTTTTATTTCTTTTAGATGATTTTTCAGCCATTGGATCAACATCCCTTTAAATAGAATAATTTATGTAAATCCCAGTGTCTTTCTTAGACTAGCAGTAAGCGCTGGGCCCCTGGCCGATTTCGAAGAGAGTGATGCTATAAATCTAATAAAAAAATTTAAATTATTTTTTCATTCCAATTTTGCCCTAAAAAAAATATCCCAAATTTGATGCAAAATAAGTTTGTACTTCAAAATTATGTACTTCATAGCCTAGGTCCTAGGATATTCAAGAAGAATATAATCTGTAAAAATGTTTTATAGCTCAAACTTATGGGCA